ATTTTAATATAACATATCAACAGAGAATGTGTAACATACGATTCCTTCCATTCCTACCTACCATCTATTTATAGTTATGTATGAAAGACTGTTCTACCAGCATTATGAATATCTGGGGCAAGTGGATAAAACATGTATGTATGGGGTTTTATAGACTTACCTATACACTGTACCATGACACACAATAACTGTACCATCATCGGAAGCTGAAGCAAACAGTGGATATGATTTATGAAAGGTAACTTGACGTATTGCTTTCTTGTGATGTCTCAATGTTTGGTAGGGTTTTGTTGAAAGATCCATATCAAACCAGGACAGTCTACAATCGTAACTGCCCACAATGATGTTATCACCTACAACAAACAACATGCAACAATCAATTCATATGAATGAAATGACGAGCAAATGGACAAACGACCAAAGAACAAATGACATCCTAAATGAATCTGTAAACCTTGTGTTCTTTAGTGATTTTAGTTACAATCAAACTTCATTCTAGACTGGTTTTAGTCAGGATAATTAGGTCGGTAAAGTTCAAATCATATCTGCAGTTAAAATGTTAAAAAAGGTCCCCCCAACCCTGGGTGTTTGTGCTGTAGACTAAATGGGAAATCGGAATGAGATTCATTCAAGATAACATGCACGACTTTTGGGGAATCTTGAATAAGGAAGATGGCCACACAGCCCTGTCATGAAGACCCAGGCATGAAATATGGTGTCTTTGGTAAAATTCACTATATTTCAGAACATGAAATTTGATACTGTCAACTGGCACAAAAATATTAAAAAAAAAAAGACTGTGAAATAGAGGTGTTACAATTTGTTTCAGCAAACTTCCCAGATTACATTCAAATTTGACCTCTGTATTTAAATAATTTGTTTACTAAAAATAAGCTGAAGACTAACAACTATCATAATACTACAATACCCACGTAGTAAAAATAAAAATTTGCGCTGAGAATTACATTTTGACCTTTAAAAGAGTGACCCTCAATTAATGTTTCCATCACTAGTACACTCCCATCGTGAACATTTAATAGTTCTCATACAATCAGTCACCAAGATTTTATTAGAGAATTTTAACTTATTTATAGTAAACAATATTTAAATTAAGCAAAAGTAAAATGAGTCAGCCATTTTGAATCAGAACATGAAATAAAAAGTAATTGTAAAGTTTGTTTGCAATCAGTCAATGTATGTCAGAGATATGGCTCTAAAACAGCATCTGTATTTGGCTATTTTGAAATCCGATCAGAAAAAAACACATTATGGTCCTGTTATATATATATATATATATATATGTTCATTGTATGTACCAAAATGGACAATAGCAGTCCATGCACATCCAAGATCTGGATCTAGAATGGCGGAAATGCTTGATTTTGCCATTTGTCCATCTTGAATTTGATGTTGAACAAATAAACATGAAAATATGGACGTATGATGCATATATAATATTGAACATGATTGGTCAAGGTACGTCAGAAACACAGCTCGGAGACCTCATTCAATAAAACAAAATGGCCATCTGTTGGGCATTTTGAATCAGATCTAAAACAAAATGACTGAAGTTTGAACAAAATCCATCTATACATAAAAAAATGCAATATTGCAAATGGTTTTCAGACACATTCTGTGGATGAATTTGTTGTTCTTACCTCCAGGATGAACTGCAATGCTTGAAACCCATTTTGCATTTGTTAATAGCTTCTTTGTCATTTCCTGTTTTAGTAAATTATATACTCGCACAAACCTCTGTGTCTATAGACAGGAAAATAAAAAAAATCATTCTGGTTAACAACTGTGATAAAACTTGTCTGAAGAGAAAACAGCACATCTGTACGTTGGTCTACTCTACTATGAATTTCACAAGTAGTCAATGATATAAACAAACAACTTGACATAGTATCATGAATGTTTGATTGTAGAATGGTGAATATGCTTGCAGTTTTAAACAAGCAGCCTGTCGGCTCCGCTGTTAGCAAGGCACACTTCAATTAAAGAACTGAAGATATCATTAGAAAATGAATAGAAAATGTATAGTATGTATATCAATCAGACTGCTGTTTTCAACAAGAATTCAAAAATATCACTTTTTACCAAAAATGACAAAAATATTCATAAAAATTAGAGAATTGAAGATATCATCAAATGAACAAATCTGAGAGAGGTCCACATGTAGTACCTATATATGTATTATCAAAGCAATTGGATTTGCGGTTTTTAACAAGAAGTCAAAAATATCACTTTCTACCAAAAATATTCACCATTCAATAAAAGCTTAGAAAGAACTTCCGTGTGCTGAGGGAATAGGGTGATCCCATGATGTAATATTCGGGAATATTTGAAAATGATAAACAAATTATGAATAATCTATTAAATAAGGAGCCACCTTATCCAAGAGCAATTGTAATCCCCAACGTGTCTTTTTTGTTACTGCGTATAAATTAACACTATCTGGGGCACGTCGCACGCGATGAGTACCAACCAAAAATACACACAGGACATTTTAAGTGGTTCGAAACAAAACCTATTCGCTAATTTTCATTTCGAAAACATCTACGACGGCTTAAGACCCTGCAGCCCGCCCCACATGTTTGTTTTTTT